CACTGCCTTTAATATGCTGTCCTTGTCTTTGATCTTTGCCATTTTAATTATTATATGTCTTTGTGTTTTCCTCCTTGGGTCCCTTGTGTTGGAAGATCTGTCTGCTTCCATGGTCTAAGAGACTATTTCCTCCCCCAGTTTGGGGAAGTATTAAGATATTATTTCTTCAAAGACACTTTCTAACTCTTTTTCTCTCTCTTCCTCTTCTAGTACCCCTATAATGTGATTATTGTTCCATTTGGATTGGTCACATAGTTCTCTTAGTATTCTTTCCTTCCTGGAGATCCTTTTATCTCTCTCTGCCTTAGCTTGTCTGTATTCCTGTTCTCTGATTTCTATTCCATTAATGGTCTTTTGCACCTCATCCAGTCTGCTCTTTTGTCTTTCCAGAGATTGTTTTACTTCTGTATTCTCCCTCGTAACTTGATCCTTTAGCTATTGCATATTTCTCTGCAGGTCCATCAGCATGGTTATGACATTTATTTTGAATTATTTTTCAGGAAGATTGGTTATATCTGTCTCCCCAGGCCCTCTCTTTGGGGCTGTCTGGGTAATTCTGGACTGGACCAAATTCTTCTGCTTTTTCATGGCAGTAGAGGTAGTTGTAGGCAGGTGGTGCATGTGTCAGCTGCGAGAACAAAGTCCCTTTCTGCTTGCTGGTCACCCTGCCCGTCTCCGCTGCCTGTGTTAGTTACCTGCACACTGGAAGCAGCCCTTGAGGTAGCCTAGAACCCTGTGGGGAGTGGCAGGCTTGCTGGGTGTGCTCTCCTTTGAGAACAGTGGCCCTTTGCGCCATCTCCCAGCTTCCTCTGCCAGTACCAGGCAGCTGCATGCTGGGAGGAAACTCTGGGTGGCTGCTGTGGCCAGGGCCACTCTCCAGCTGCTCCACCACTGTAGCAGAGCTGCACTGCCCAGGGGAATGAATGGCAGGCTGCTGATTGCCGTGAGGGGCTTCAGAGCTGTGCTCCCTCCCAGAGGGCTGGGGCACCTGAATCTCTTCAGAATTCCTAGCCTGCTGGGCTGAGTGTGCTGGAATGGTTCCATCCAGCTGTGAAGCCCCCGTCCCTTTAAGATTTTCAAAAAGCACTCAGTTTTCTTTTGTTCCAGGGGAGCCGACTGTGGGGACCTGTTTGCAGGTTTTACTTTTCTGTTTCCCTAATATCCAGCATAGCATTCAATGTGTGTCTGCACTCCCCGTGCGGATTACTATGGCTAGTTATTTAGCAGTCCTGGGCTTCCACTCCCTTCCTGCTCCAACTCCTTTCTTCCCACTGGTGAGTTGGGGTGGGGGTAGCACTCGCGTCCCACCGGGTCGCAACTTGTATCTTAGCCCCTTCATGAGGTGCTGAGTTTCCGCAGATGGAGATGAAGCCTTACTGTTGTACTGTATCCTCTCTCTGGTCTCTCTTTTTTGCGCAGTTGTATTTGTTGTATTTTCAAAAATATATGTGGTTTTGGGAGGAGATACCCGCTGCTCTACTCACACCGCCATCTTGGCTCCTCCAGTGTGTCATTTCTTAATCTGAATTGTAACTGAACCTCATTTTAGTATGAGGACTGCATCATAGCTACCACCCTCTATGTTTCAGAAGTCTCTTCCTTAGACACATAGGTGTAGTATTTTGAAAAACACATAAATTTTAATCAAAAGTTGCTTACATGGTACTAGTTATACAGTCAGTCACTGCACATTGAAGAATGATACATTTCTTTAAGTACCAAAAAAGATACTATCTTTTACTGTAAATTAATCTAGTAAGATAATGTGAGTCTCATTAAATAATGTAAGTGAATTATGTAGTTGTCTTCAGATACTACATGTGGAATCCTATGTAATAAAGAACGATTTTGAAGGGAGCTTATGAGGTTGAGCTTATCATCCTCTCTATGTAAGATACACATGATTTTCAAAAGTGTAATTGTATAATTGAAATAACTCATTTGACTGTTTTCTGGGTTTTCAAAGTTTCTAGGTATTATTAAAGAACTGACCTTGTAAGTTCATATGCAGTTCAGTTTTTGTATAATTTTTTCTAATTATGATATGTACATAGAAAGACATAAAACATATGTATATAGTTTAAAGAATAATTATAATGTGAACACTCAGGTAACCACTGCTCAGATCAAGAAAAATTACCAGCATTCCAGAAGCCCCACCCTCCCCACATGCTCTATCCTGATGGTTGACCTCTTCTCCCTTCTGGATAGGTACTGTCTCTACTTTTGTCATTTTCTTGCTTCTCTTTGTATTGTAGTTGCTTACAGTTGTATCCTAAAATGTTATAATTTAGGTTTGACTGATTTTGAACTGGCATGAATAGAATTATTATGTGCTCTATCATATCTGGCATCTTTCACTCAGCGTTAAGTTTGTGAGATTTTATCTGTGTTCTTGCTATGCAGTACACTTCTTAAAAGACTTTTCTGTATTTTCCCATCTCCCATTTTTGCTTAGGTCTAATACTTTTGGATAGTAGCTCTAAATACTTTTGGATGTTTCTACTTTGCCTCCTTGGATTTTCTACTAAATGAGGTCTGAAGAGTAAAACTTGTCTGGAACTCAGCTTTCCAAACTTACTCCACTGCCCCCAGTTTGATGGCATGTTGTTTAGATGAGACTACATCTTTAAGGCTTCTGTGCTCCGTTAAAAATCTTCCTTTCTCCAAGGCTGGTCCAAGGGTCTGGTCACATGATTCCAACAGTGACATCACACTCTGACCGCTGGGGAACATTGGTGGTTCTTTAAGGTGGCGTTTGTTCCTGCGAAAGGGAGAGAACACAGCAAGTGCCCTTCTAAAGCAGTTCCTCCCAGGGCTCCTTCTGTAAAAGCTCCTCAGCCTAAATAACCAGATGCGTGCTGCCAAGGTTTTTTCTTCCTTAAGGCAGAAAAAAAGAAAGCTGTGATTGAAGGTAAGCAGACTTGAGCACGGCCAAGGACAGAAGCATGACCCCAGGGATCAGGGGATCTGTAGAATCACAAGCAGTCTCTTGTCAGATTCTAATCACTGTCTGCTCTTTTCGAGCTGCCTGACAATTTGCTTTTCGAACAGGAGACTGTCTACAGAGAGGGATGATGCCAGTGCTCAGGTTACCTAGTGATGTAATAAGATTCTTTATTTCTCTTTTCGTCGCTGTTGTGGATCTTCATTTTGTCTTAATAGCCTTAGAGCTGGGGGCCTCATTTGCTATAATGTTAGATAGCTGTTGGATGCTTTAAAAATCAGTTTCACAAAATCCTGTTTAAATTTCTCTTGAAAGGAACTCTCTTAAACCAGAGCACATTCTGTTGAAGCATTAACCTGCTTTAAAAAGTAAATTTATGGTTGTTTGGTGTCCTGTGTTCATGGCAGCATTTGTTTTGAGAATTGAAACAGCTTGGTTGTTTTTCGCTCCTCACATACTTATTTTCTTTCTGCCCTCATTTTCTAGCTGGCTGTTTTTCTCCAAGCTCTCAAACAACACACCAGCACAAATCTTTATCAGTATGGCACTGACATGATAGGAAATGCTGGGCTGGTGATTCAGCAGCCAACCATTTTACAGCCAGGTATGCTAGAAGATACCGAAAGGACTTTGGTTAGGGGTTTTAAGATTAACTTGTTCACCTCCTCTACTCCAGCCCCACCCCACCCCCACCCTCACCCTCAATATGATTTGGATTCTGCAAAGCTTTTCCTTTCAAATGTGTGTGTTGCTTGTGAAAGGTATGCTGAATTAGGTATGTGAAAGTCTTAATTTGTAAACCAGGTTTTCAGCTTGGGTGTTAATTCAGATTTACCCCACCAGAGTGTTGAAGTTGTCTGTTAGGAGTTTAGAGTGAAAATGGGAATACAGATGTGGGGAGGGGGGTTCAGTTCAGGTCCTCTTTGGACTGCTCTGCAGAGGTGTTCGTCACGTCTGTGTAAAGCTCTGTCCCTGCCAAGGTTGATGCTGCAAATGTGAGCTTTGACTGATTGTGTCAATGATGCCATTACTCTGCATTTTTCCTCAGTGTGCATTTGCATAAGTTCCTGAATATTGTTTTACATTTTGTGTTTAATAATGAAATATTGTTCCACCAGAGGATTGTGGGAGTATTTTAGACAAGTTTGAAGCAATACTAAGTAACCTTAGTTGAGTACGACTTCTGAGTTTGAATACTTCTCCCCCATTCCCACTATTCATCAAACAAACTTTGGTTCAGCTGATATTTACTGAATCTTGGATATGTGCTAGGCACTGGAGAAGGTAGTGATGAATCAGATATAGGGCTGCCCTCAAAGAGCTTCTAGTCTGGAAAGGAAGATGAAGCATTTGTATAAGTAACTGTAATAGAAGTGCTAAAATTGGAGCAGATAAATGACTGTGATGGTCAGGCAAATGGATGTGTTTCTACCAGCTGAGGGATCAGGGAGGGACTTGAATCTCTACTTGTAAATCTTAGTCTGTTCTGACATACTCAGTAAAAGTTTCTACAAGCCTGTTACATAAGAGATCAAAGTCTTAAAACTATTGAAGGGAAATATGTACATTCCAGCCAGCTTAACTCTTGAAGAGGCTGACATACTTTCTTTGCAGTCCCTTCTCAGGCAAAAGCCACCTCTCAGGGTTGAATCACTGCCTTATAAATGTAAAATGGTTTCTGATGTGATACATCTATGAAAAACTTTGTCTCCTTTTCGTAACAGTAACTGAAATATCCAAGCTGCTCCAAGCTCCTGTCTTTTGTTTCAAAAGTCCTTCTCTCTGCACTTCTGCTCCTGTCAATTTTCCTTTTGTGTTGTCACTCTCATCTGTCCCTTTCCATTTTCACTGCCTTAAGACACTTATCATATTGTGCCTAGACCACAGAAACCTCTGGATGTGATGGATTTTCCCACCAGGTGATTGTGCTGCTTTCTCAGCACACCCTAACTGTAGTCCTCTGATGGTTTAAGGGTTCACCTTTTGATGCTCAGAAAGGAGGTCTTAAACATGTCTAGAATGTCTGAAGTATTAATGTTTGTTTCCTATTCAGAGGACAAATCATACAATGGTGGAGGAATAGGTTCTTCGAATAGGATGATGGACTTCTTGGAGGAGCCAATCCCCGGTGTGGGGACCTATGATGATTTCAATACAATTGATTGGGTGAGAGAGAAGTCTCGAGACCGGGATAGGCACCGAGAGGTAAGACAAAAGATGGTACATGAGTAAGTGTCAGGAAGCACCAGGGAAGAAGTCAAAGATATGTATTCTTTATATGTATGCATTCCTTCAGCTCTGGATATGGCTGAATCGGGTTTCTATTGGCAATGTGGGGTTTTGTTTTTAAACTTATTTTTATTTTCGAGATATCTTTTATATGATTTTTAAAAGGATCTATATTTAATGATGATTTATCTTCGTCTTTTAAAAGGATCCTTGTAGACCTGAAGTGAGTATAAGTATAAATGCCTTTGCAGGGAGGTGAAAACAAAGCTGGTGGTGGTGGTGGGGAACCAAAATAAATTTCAAAGATCTTTTATCCCCATCCCATCTCCCTTTTATGGTTTTCCCTTGAAGCAGGAATTTTAGAACTGATAAGTAAATGGGCTCCTTTTAAAGGAATAGAAGTTAAAAAAAATATCAGAGCCGTAGTGTTTACTGAAGCATACAAGATAAACTCCCTGTGATGATAGGTCTTGTACAACCATAAAACCAAAGCAAATTTATGCATTCAACTCATGCAAGAGCACAATACCAACCAAGTTCAAATGAAGGACATTCATTGAATTAAGTAATAGATGGAAAAGGTAGGGACCCAGTGATCCTGATGCAGTAGGTGATCCTCTGGTGAGACCTTTCCAGCCAACAGTAGGTATTATTTTTTCTTTCTTTCTTACTATTTCTGCTTTGACTCCAGATTTAAAATTTGATTAAGTGGGCCCCATTCTCTCCTGAGTTCATGATACTCCTCTCTGAGCCAAGTCAATTGCCTGAGCAGTTAGGTTGAGATCGCTTTTCATTCAAACTTTTCCCAGCTCCTCTGGTTTTCTCATGACCACCTGAAAGCAGGGGTCAGGTTGTCCCAGGTACAGGTTTTGAGAAATTCCTTTGTAATCCATGGATTTGTGATAATCCCACTCAGTTTTCTTGTCCTAACTAAAAACGATGCTCTCTATAGAACATTCTGTGTTTTTCATAAGGTTTCTGCTATGTGGGAGCACACACATTTTCTTTCTATCATATTGATTCAGGTAGGCTTTAAAATTTAGAACTGTATGGCTCTAGAATTTCTGCTATTTGTAATTAATTCAGAGTTCAGTTTGTCATGAGTTGCTTATTGAACATGTTATGCACGTTGTGAAAGTCAGCTGTGATATGATGAGGACGTATTTCCCATTATGTTAAAATGCTTACATCTGAGACAAATTATGCCAATTAATAATAATTTGAAATCAATTCAAATGTGTTTATCAGATGTTCAAAGGGGACTTTTTTTTAGCCTTAACTGTTCATGATCTGAGTGGAAACACTGTCACAGGGAAAGATGTCACTTTATCTACTTTCAGAACTGAAAATGGAAACTTAAAGTCATAGGTCAAAGTAAATTTTTAAACTGCTCAAAATTTTTTATAATAATGTTTGCTATTATTTGTGATGTTAATATAGATGGGGATGAGGTAGCTAAGTCACAGTTTCAAAGATAAGAAATAGAGGTACAGAGAAGGGGGAAGTGCCAATGACAGCTGTCAGAATGCTTGGTTTTGAGATGTGGGCACTAAAGGGTTTAATTGACAAGGTTAGGACCTAAAAGGTCAAACTGTCTCCACCTCTTGATAGCCTCAGATATTCCCAACAGGTTTTTGAAAACAAAGAGATACATCCCTGTTATCTATGGTCAAGATACAATTGGGGTTTGTGGGATCAAATCTTGGTGTTTGGCTGACCCTGAGGCACAGCACAGGGTAGTAAACCTCAAATTGTACTTTCACCACTCAAATAAGCCCATGTTTGTTTTTTCTTTGAAGAACCTTCAAACTATTTGCTGTGCATCAAGAGACCATCCTTAGAATATCTGATGGACAGGGCTTGATGCTATAAGATGGTATAAGAAATTAGCAGCTGAATGGGGGAGCCTTGCATGAGGTACTTGCTGGCATTGCAATACTGTAGATCAAGGTGGGGTTCAGGAAGACAAGGTTCAATAAACCTCAGAGTTCTTGGTGGTGTTGGTTCATATTATTTGAGAAGTAACTTCAAGTTGGTCTCTGTTCCCAATGAACAGATTTGTCTTTGCCTTTCTTTATTGCACATTTTGAGGTGAAAAAGCAAGTGTGTATGTCGAGTATACCAGTGTTTTCTCATTTCTCCCTAGATTACCAATAAAAGCAAAGAGTCAACATGGGCCTTAATTCACAGTGTGAGTGATGCTTTTTCTGGCTGGTTGTTGATGCTACTTATTGGGCTTTTTGCAGGTATGGAAAACTATGTTAGTTTTCTAAACGAATCTCCTAACATTGTGGTGTGCCCCTCCCCTAAGTCTTGGACTAAGCACACTTATGCCCAGTTGTTAAGGATGCTACTGATATTACCTAAAGATATTCATGAACCATGGAGCATGAGATGATTGCTGCAAATGACCAATGGTTCATCCATAGCTGGGTTTCAAAAATTATCTAGGGCAAGAGTCAATGAACATTTTTTGTAAAATAAATATTTTAGGATTTGTAGACCAGATGCTCTCTGTAGCAGGAAAGCAGCCATACACAACAGATAAACAAATGAACAGAGATATGATAAAGAAAAACTTTATTTACAAACATAGAGGCAGCTTTGACCCTCGGGCTATAGTTTGCCAACCTGTGGTCTAGGGTGTTGATGGGAAGAGGAGGAGGAACAGTAGAAGGGAAGATAGGATTGAGGGTGCCAGTGTTAGGTAGAGTAAGATGTGCACACGTGACACTACCAGAGAACAAGCCAAACTCTGCATGTTCACGTTAATTTTTTGAATCCAGGCAGTAAGTGCAGTAAGAGTTAGAAGGAAGAGAAGGCAGGGGCTGGAGTGGTCAAGAGTAGGCATCAAACAATGTGTTACATCTGACTGGCTTATTCTAGTATGTAAATAAGCTGTGTCAACACTTTCAGCACCTACCCAAACATACACATGACATGGCCTCCAGCCTGTTGGAATGTAGCTGTAATATATTCAACTTTTAAACATATTTCTTGTCACTAGGTGGCCAGTGAATATTTTTCTTTACTTTATACACACAGGGTATTTTGTTTTTAAGCACTGTAGAGCAACAATAGAATCAGTGTGTTTGAATGCAGAAACAATCTGAGAATGCAGGGGCTGTGAATTTTATGATGTCTTTCCCTAAAGCACGATGCTAGACCATTTAATTTCTCTATGCCAGAGTTTTTTCATGTGGATGACAGAAATGATAAGAAGGCCAGAATCGAAAGTACTGTAGCTGTCTTAACCCTATCAGTCTATTGACCATAGCACATAAATCCCCATTCACTATTCATTTTCTCATAATTTTCTTTGATGAATGTTCTGTATGTAATATTATTTGTGCCTTCTCACTAAGAAAACTTTCCTTTTCCCAGCTAGCTTCTTCTTCCCTGGACAAATTTTATCAGGTTTCCCCTACCCTGAAGAATAAAATTTTTTCCCTTGTCCTTGTTACAATTTCAAGCTTCTGTCCCTTCTCTCCTTCCAATGGCCACCAGATATCTTCATGACTTCTACACTGAGTGCCTCCCCTTGAAATCTGGTTCCTAACAGTCACCTGAGATGGTTGCTCAAGGTCAGAAGGGACAGCATTAACACCTTAGACCACAGGTTGGCGACCTATAGCCTGAGGGTCAGAATGTTTCTGTCCCAGGGTCAGGATGCTTCAACATGTCTACAGCTTCATCTGTCCTTCCTTGTATATCACAGTTTGTGCTTTTATAAATCCATTCCCTTAGCCTAGAATGCCCTTCTGCCATTGTTCAGACTGTCTAGCCCATGGAGCAAAGTCACTATCAGCACTGAGCTCTTCTTCCCTTACTTTCATCAGCTCACCTCCCTACGTCTGCTCAAATAAATGTCATATAATATTCTTCAGTGTGGGGAAATTCACATTTTCTCAATCTTATTATATAGTGAGAATAAAGTTATGTTTAATAAACTTGACTATCTTTATGGATCAGCAGTCATCAACTGTAAGTCAAAGCAGTCTTGGCCATGTAAATCAGCCCAAAGTCAAATCCACTTACCCCTTGTTCCCATCTAATCATTTTGCCGTAAATTTCTCCTATATATAAGTTCTACAGACACAATGTGTAATGCAGACAATGTTTTGCTCTTGTTTTTCCCTCTTGAACAGACATTTAATAATAGGTGAAACCTATTAGAGATAATAGGTAAAAATCAAGCAGACAATCAGAAAGAGGTTGTAGGTAGAACAGGAAGGTACATGATTGTCCATTGTTTTGATTCCTTTTCCCTCATTTTCTGTGACAACTTTCATCTTTCCTTTCCTCCCCTCAAATCAGGTTCCCTAGCTGGCTTGATAGACATCTCTGCTCATTGGATGACAGACTTAAAAGAAGGTATATGCACAGGGGGACTCTGGTTTAACCATGAACACTGTTGCTGGAACTCCAAGCATGTCACGTTTGAAGACAGAGACAAATGCCCAGAGTGGAATAGCTGGTCCCAGCTTATCATCAGCACGGATAAGGTACCATGTAGTGAAGGTTTCTGAGCCACTGACTTCTGTTCTTATATTTACTTCATTTCTTATACTGCACTGAAGGCAATTATGGAATCTTCCCCTATTTTCCTTTTCATGAAAAGAGGAACCTATGTCAGTGGCCTTTGTGGTTTAAATGCTGCCCTATTTCCATCTCTTCTAACATGTGAAGTTGTTTGATGCTTACACAGTGACTTAAAATTTTTACTTGTTTTAAACAAGCCTCTTGTTTCTTCTTTCTTAGTTGTCAGTACACAGGGTGACCAAATCTATCTTTCTCTGATACTTTCAGTAGAAATGTCAAGCCAGCCAACAGGTAGAACATAATTTCTAAGAAAGGATGCAATGGGTTAAAAATGAGTTTATTGTATAAACTCCAGAAGTTATTTTTCCCAGAGCATTGCATTAGAACATTAGTTCCATATCAAGGTAACAGAAACCCAGGAATAAAATAGCCCATAGTCCCATTTTGAGATTACATCAATATTTTCAGTTGCCCTTGTCTTCTAGCATATATTTTTTGATATAAAAAAACTCATTTTTCAGTTCCTTACCTTTCGAGTACCACTTGGTTTGCATGTTAGATCGCTCTTACTAAAAACAAAAAACACAAAATAAAATAACTCTCAATCCCCAATTACCACTAAAAACAGGTACCAGTGTCAGCTCACTGCTCATCTACTCTGCTGGTGAAAGGAGGGGGAATAAGACTAGGATATATATTTGTGCCTTCAAAATTTATTTTTATATTTACTTTCGTCCACAAACAATTTGAAATGACACACACACACACACACACAGACTCAGTTAAGGAAAAAGAAGGATAGGAAAACAATAAAGTCAGAAATAAGAGTGTTTATACACATATATGACTGTACATATTGGCTTGGGGAAAGAGTTCAATAAAAGGTTTATATACATACTATCTGTGTGCAAGGGTTTAGGGCTATGCTCACAGTGCAGTAAGGTCAGCTTGCTAGAGGGTAAATGAAACCACAGTGTAAATGTTATATGCCTTCCCAGAATATCAGTTTTTCCTCAACATTTGGAAGAAAGTTTTTTTTTCAAAAATTACATTTAATTTAAAAATGCAAAATTCTCATGTTTGTAAAGATAAAACATAATCTCTATTTCAGCTCTGCACCTAGGCATCCCACCCCCTACCCTGTCTCCTAGATTAGGAGTACTTCGGTAGAAATTTTGAGAAACCCTGGAATTTAGGGTGAATGTGTGTGTGTGTGTGTGTGTGTGTGTGTGTGTGTATGTCATTGCCTACTTTTTGACTCTTATTTTTGAAGTAATTATAGATAAGCAGGAAGTTGGGAAACAATATGTAGAGAGGTCCGTGTACCCTTCACTCAGCCTCCACCAATGGTAATAGCTTATATAAAAATAGTGCAGTGGCAAAACAAGGAAATTGACATTGGTACAATCCACAGACCTTATTTCACCAGTTTTACATGCATGTGTGTGTGTGTAGTTCTCTTGAGTTCTGTCACATGTAGACTTGTGTAACCACCACCACAATAGACATGTAGAACTATTTTCCATCACTATAGGCTCCACCTGCCACAGGCCCTGTGCTAACCCTTTATGGTTGTGTGAATGTGTTTAAGTGTTCCAACCCTAACTGTCAAACTGGATCTTGATATTTGCTCCAGTGACGAATTTCCCTGGCTCTCCTTTTTATGAATGACATCCTTGCCTGGGGAAAGAGTCTTCTAGGTTTTAGGAAGTGTTTTCCTGCCATGAACTTGGCCTCCAGGCCTCTGCCTCTAGCCAGTTTCAGCTACTTCCCCTTTCACTCCCTTCTTTCTTTGTTTCTTTGTTTCCTACCACTGGAGCCTCCCCCCTCATTTTACATTCGAAAGGCTAAGGAAGAGCAATTATGTGTTCCTTTGAGGGACCAAGATAATGGACAACCTGGGTCAAAATTATAACTTGAAAAAAACCTGAGTATTTTGTTTCTCCTTGTCTAGGTCAGTGAATTATTTTAATAACGTTTTCTGTTTTAAAAAGTCAAAAGGTTACTGAGTTTTGTGTTTCATGTAATTTGAGTGGGTTTCAACTTCTAATATTTCTTTCAGCAAGCATAATATTTCCGATGTTCAAAGTAGCCTGTTTGCAAGGCATTAACTGTTTTCAAGCCTTTTAATGTTGGTGAATCCTTATTAGTGGTCAAATTAGGTTTGTTTTCTGGCATTTCATTATCATAGGGGGATCATCTCAAAAGTATATTCTCATTTTAAAAATGGCTATTGCCATTTTATTCTTTGGGCTATCTGGCATCTCACTGGTGGTGGTTTATGGTCAGAGCCCAAAACTTTCTATTGCATATACTTAATGCTGCGTCTGTGGTAGCAAAATTCTCTCAAAGATGTGGTGGTTCTTTACAGAGCTTAATTGTATATTTTAAGAAAAACATTTGGGAATTTTACATGCTATAACCTCCTGTGAGAATTAGAAAACAAGGTAGGTAGGCAGCCAGGCTGTACTTCAAATGTGTTAGCCAAGTTTCAGCTATTTGAATCAAAGAAGTGTTTATAATCTTACTAAAATTGACATAGAATTGTATATATTTGACTACAAAACCTATCAGTACTCATACAGAAAGTGAATTTGCTTTGGGTTTTTCTTAGCTCTTCTGTTCTTGTCCATTCTTAGAAGCTATTGTCATGTTCCTTTGGGTGTAGCAAAGCCTCTCATTTCCAGGAGCAAGTGGGCTGGCAGTATATGAGTAGTTGCTTTGCTGACAACCCGGGAAGGAACATCTTGAGCGATTTAATATTCTTCTTTTTCCTTCTGACCTCCTCTTCTGAAAACCCATTACTCAGAAGAGCTGTATGCCTCATTGAGGCTGTCTGGGCAAAAACAAGCTTCTGTCTTTTTTCCTTGTTTCAGGGAGCCTTTGCCTACATAGTCAATTATTTCATGTACGTCCTCTGGGCTCTCCTGTTTGCCTTCCTTGCTGTATCACTTGTCAAAGTGTTTGCACCTTATGCTTGTGGCTCTGGAATTCCTGAGGTGAGTATCTAAAATGGTTTATAAATGGTAACAATAATGAATCCTTTTTGGTTAAAAACTCTTTAATATGTATTCCAGCATATACCACAATTTGAATATGATATAGGATCACATCCTGAGTCTATCTAGGGCTCTCAAGTGTCCTTCCAACCTGGGCCACCTAGACATTAAAGGGATTTTATTCCTTGCCTCCTGTGGTGAACCAGGCCCCTGAAGACCTCCCCTACTCTCTACTCAATAAAATCCCAGCATAGATCCCAAGATTCTGGTCCGAAAAAGTAGTGGTATTGTCAACTCTGTTAGAACAGAAAAAATAAAACTTTTTTGCTACATTTCCTACAATATGATTTGGGCTAGAAAAACAGTGATTAAAACCCTCTTCTAATTACTTTTGATTTAGATTGCTTGACAGTGACTGAAACCACAAAGATTTTAGATTACCCGATGACCTTGCCCCTCTCTGTTTCCTGGTCAAATCATAGTTATAAATTTCTTTGGCAGAGAATCAAGGCTATGGTGGCCTGTAAGGATGTAAGTAAAGAAAACACCCTCCCTCTCTGCCTCCCCTTCTCCATATGAACACACTCATACACTAAGATACTCCCTTGCCCAGCAATCATGTGGGAGAAAAAAAAAAAGAACATGAAAGTATAAAGAACAGCTCTTGCTGTTTGGGGCCCCTGAACTCCCTCACAAATTAGGATCACTGTAGGTCAGGCATTTCTATGTCACCTCTACAAAAAGTGCAATTTCTAAGAAGAGGTCCAGATTATTGCTGCTTAGCCTCGTTTATTTGCTTAGTCTATATTCAATCTCTCTGTATTTGACCTGCAGATAAAAACTATCTTGAGTGGTTTCATTATTAGGGGCTATTTGGGTAAGTGGACCCTGATTATCAAAACCATCACATTGGTGCTGGCAGTGTCATCTGGCTTGAGCCTGGGCAAAGAGGGCCCTCTAGTGCATGTGGCTTGCTGCTGTGGGAACATCCTTTGCCACTGCTTCAACAAATACAGGAAGAATGAAGCCAAGCGCAGAGAGGTAATAACATATGGGCTTAATAGTCTCTTATTTGGTGAGAGCGTAAATGATACAGTCTCAGGGATGAGAATGTGGGGGTTCTACCAATGTTAATTCAAGCACCCTTTTACCCAGCAGTTCCACCTCTAGGAGTTTAACTACAGACATCCTAGTATGTGTGTGCATGACGATGTAAGGGCATAATCAGCAGAACATTTGTCAACATCATGGAAAGCGGAAGCAATCAAAATGCCCATCAACTGGAGACTGAATAAACAATATTCTGTATGTACTCTGGCATACTATGCAGACATGACGAAGAATGAGATAGCCCTATTATACTGACATAGAATGAGGCTATAAAACACCATTAACTTTCAAAAGACAATTTTGGAATAATGTGTATAGTATAATTCAATTAATATTTCACAAAAGCATACATATATATATATACACCTAGAAAGAAAATGTCTCGAAAATGGTTTTACCCCCAAACTGTTAAAAATGTCTACTTCTGGTGAGTGAGAAAGTGAGGTGGTAGTGATAGAGAAGCAAAGAGTTTAACTTTTTATTATATATAATTCTATACAAGTATGTGCTGTTTCTATTACAAAATAAGTTACAAAAATAATAGATTTTCTAAAGAATTGTTTATTCCTGTTAAAAATATAAATTCAGCATGTGTTTTCAGATACAGCTTTTTCATCTTTTATTTCCCACCTAATACCACACTGAATTCATTTCTCTCTGTATTGACTCTCTCTTCTTGCCTTTTACCTCAGCCCTGCTAAATTAGTCCCACCACAGCATCTCTGTAGTTGTTCTCATGTTTATGCAGTTTGTTAATGTACATCCTTTTGAGGAGGAAGAACAGTTTTTAAAAAATAGTCCAAGTCATTGGTTAATTTTGTACAGCTATAATTAAAGATTTAAGAAAATAAAGGTTCTTCCTGTATTTTCCTTGAATTATAAATAAATCACATATAGAATGGGTCAAGACCAAGGTCATTTCATTGGAGAGGGCTTTTCACAAAATTGGAACTGAGCAATTTATTCTGAAAACAAAATAAAACAAAATTAACCATAAGACCCAGGAGGAAACTTAAAGAAGTCGAAGTTTCAAATATGGAATACATTTTGATAGTTCAAGGGGAAAAGTTCCTGGCCAGAGAGGAAGGCTAGAAGGTGCAAGAGAGGGAGAAATCTGAGGACATTGTTTAGGTACCTGTCAAATGGTAGAGGGACATAACAGCAGTATTCAAGTGGTGAGAATGTTTGATGGCAATAATGTGCAACAGAAGTTAAAGAGATTAAAAAAACATTTTACCTGTCAAGAATAAGATGTTGATTGTTGCTGGCTTCTCATGGGTAGAGGTGACTCTGAAAGTATAGATTGCTGGTTACTTTCATTCCATAAAATTGGCAGTTTTGTCCAAATACTTCCTTATTATATGAGAGAGGAGTTGGCTGTTTGTACAGATGTCATATATTTCTCTAACTAGACTATGACTCTTTGAAACTTTAGTTTACTCCTATTGCTTCTTTAGACTCTCCAGTTTTTTTTCCTATTGTTCTCATCATTGGCAGTACCTTTTTTGTGTCCCAGAGCCTTTTCAAAGTGGGCAGATGGTTGGGGGTAAAATAGTGATTTGAGGAGGAAGCGCATAGACAAGACTCCACTTTACAACATAAAATTAAAACAAACTTGTCACCTCGATTCTTTCTTCTACCTCATAATTCATCCTAAACAGTCACTGAAATCCTTTTCCTCAAGGTCCATGTTGACTGTCCTAATTCTTTTCAGATTAAAGCCTTTATAGTCATGAACTTCAAAGTTCTTTCCAACTAGCACCAGAGAGCTTACTCTTTCCTCCCCTACATTTTTGTGGACCATCTTACACTCCCAGAGAAACCTGCCTATTTATCTAGCCAAGACCTATTTTATTCTTCAAAAACTGTTAATTGTTTTCAACTTTCTCTTCAAAATATTTCCTTGCTACCCGAAATCATGTATCACTCCACAGCAACCCGAATCCAATGGAAGGACTTTATCCTTCTATTCATTCTGGTTTGCATGTCGTGCACATTTTTATATGGGCACATTTATGCATATGGCTCCACATAAAAGTGCTGCTCTCTAAACATCACTTGCTCTCTTTCTCTACTCCCTTGTCCCTTCCTATTTTCCTCTGACAGCTTCTTCTCTCCTTCTTCCTCTCCCTCCTAGCTCCTTCTCTTGCCACATCTATTAGGTCTTCTCTTCCCTTCAAAATCTATCCCCAACCTTACTTCTAGTTGCCTCCCTAATTCTTATTCCACAGGTCGCTAGGCATGAAGTAGGGCACCGGGTACAGGAAACCCTAAATACCTATTGTATGAATATTTGCAGCTCCTGAATAACTGTGAGTCAATTGTTACTTCAGTTTTCCTCATTAGAGCCTTTTTAAAAGCTCATTTAAAAAGTCATTCCTTCATAATGAAAGTGCTGTGTTAGTACATCACTTGTAAGTACTCCATTTAGGTGGTAAATAGGTCGGCAAACTCAAATTTGCTTACGAATTGGGAGTATTGGGGATGAGGGGGCATAATTTAGAATAAAGTACATGTCTAGATTAATTACAAAGGAAAGGCCCTCCACCTGCTCATGCATGTGAACCATGTGTTTAAAATTCAGCATACAGTGTTTGCTCTCAAAATAATATAAATTGAACTTCATTTTTGATAAACTGGATATGGAGCATATAAAGGTTTTCTAAAAATGTTTTATAACCATTAACATTCCTTTTAAAAATGTGATTAAAGGGAGGAAAGTGGCATTATCCTATCACTAATTTTGAGGTTTGTATTGCAGGTCTTGTCGGCTGCAGCGGCAGCTGGTGTATCTGTAGCCTTTGGGGCACCTATCGGCGGAGTATTATTCAGCCTAGAAGAGGTAACTACTTTTAATTGTCTGGAGAGCACTCAGTGTCAGGAATTCCAGCCATCATCTATGTACACTGCAGTCCCAAAGTGCTCTGCCCAACTCAGTGCTTTACCACGTGACCAGAGATCTCTGGACAGTTCACGTCCACAGCTCTAATTCCTGCAGCACCAGTTCTTCACCTCAAACAGTTTAAGCATATTGACTGAGTTTGCTTTCTCACCTTCTCTCTTACAGGTCAGCTATTATTTTCCCCTCAAAACATTGTGGCGTTCATTCTTTGCTGCCTTGGTGGCAGCATTTACTCTACGCTCTATCAATCCGTTTGGGAATAGTCGCCTGGTTCTATTTTATGTGGAGTTTCACACCCCATGGCATCTCTTTGAGCTTGTACCATTCATTCTGCTGGGCATATTTGGTGGTCTGTGGGGAGCTTTGTTTATCCACACAAACATTGCCTGGTGTCGGAAGCGCAAGACCACACAGTTGGGCAAGTACCCTGTCATAGAGGTACTCGTTGTGACAGCCATCACTGCCATCCTGGCCTTCCCCAATGAATATACCCGGATGAGCACAAGTGAACTCATTTCTGAGCTGTTTAATGATTGTGGCCTTCTGGACTCCTCCAAGCTCTGTGATTATGAGAACCGTTTCAACACAAGCAAGGGGGGTGAACTGCCCGACAGACCGGCTGGTGTAGGCGTCTACAGTGCCATGTGGCAGCTGGCCTTGGCACTCATACTGAAAATTATCATCACTGTATTCACTTTTGGCATGAAGGTGAGGGGATTCTTTTGGTACTCAGTGGATGTATGTGTAGCTGTGGGTTTGGAGAGCAAAGCCAAGATACCATACAATTGTCATAGCTCATGTGGCACTTCTAACTTTACCCAACATTATCCCCTACCTCCCAAAGCTCTTTTTACTCACATATGTCCTCATAACTTCTTAGAAAATCATTACCTCTCTCTAACGTTGTCCAAGCCTAGTTTTAGGCCAAATGCAAACCTTAGTAATGACATTTTAAGTAGAAATGTGTTTTTTTTCTGTAGAAAACATACTTTGCCCCTTAAAAAGGATGGTGAGGTATTTGTTCCAGTGCATTTTCTATTAAAACAGTATCTGGATCGCATTTTTGGTCCTTATAAGGTGGCTTTAGAGTTCACCAAGAAAGCAAAATATTAGGGTGAACCAAATGAAGTTGCTGATATTCAGCCATTTTGGCAATTTCAAATGGTTCAATCCAATATATAGCTAAATGTATTTTTTATAGTTGTCATCACTGTCCAATTATTAAGAACTTCACAGATGATCCTAAATTAATATTTAAACCATCAAAAGTAGACATCAGGCCAGCATTTTATTTTTAATACCTGTTATTTCCACGTTTCAGAAGAAACCAGAAAGGAAAAATTTATTTAGGTATTGTCCTCCTCCTTCCTAGGTTTTTGTGTTTTGTTTTTTTTTACTTTAGTACCCAAGCTACCAAGTTATTTCCCTCTATTCTCTGGAGAAATGAGATTCAAACCAGAAAATAAGAGACAGCAACTCAGTGTAGGCAGTACTGTAATCTCTGAATTGGTATCCATCCCCCTCAACACCCTGGAAAGTTTTATAGTACCTCATGAGTTGATTTTTACCTTGTGGCTTCATTCCTTACTTTGAAGTAAATTTTCAGATCACTAGACCCACCCAGATTCAAAGGTATTCCAAAATCAAACACAAGCTATTTTAAAATAATCTGTTTTGATTACTTGTCATTATTTCCTCTCTTAGCACAGAAAATTGAGAGTTCACTTGATTATGCTAGGAGTCAAGAAAAAGAGTGGGGAGGCAGATGTGCACTCCTTATTGGATAGTCATGCAACGATAGTCACTACCTCATTTAAAAATTTTGTTTAATGTTTCCATATACTGTTATGAAATCAGCTGAAATCTCATGTGCCATCCTTTTTCTATGAGCAGTGGGTAAGTTCCAATGCATGAGAGTGGTTATAAGCATTGCATTTAAACCCCAGCACCAGTATTTACTATATGTTGACCTTGGGTGAGTCACCTAACCTCTCTAAACCTTAGGTTCTCTATGATTTTGATATAATAACACCTATCTCTGGGTAGTTGTAAAAAGCTTATGAATCTTGTCTGAAGAGCACCCAGCATAGAACATGGTAGATGGTCAATAAAAGGTAATTGTTGTTTATAAGAATTCAGAATTGGGGAAAATGTCTGCATGTATGAGAAATTCCATATATTTTCCTTTTTCTCTGAGAAAGGCCTCCAGTTCTGTGTTGGTCTGGAGAGTAAAGGCTCTTGCCTGATGGACCCCAAATCAGGGTCAGCTTCTTTGCAGTCATACTTGCCTGCATGTCCCAGAGAACCTCCAGTCCCTGTAGTGTCATACACATCTTTGCAGCCATTTACTAGCATAGTGCATAGTTAAATTGTCATTGGTCTGTTTGCTTCACAGAGGGTCAGTCCTCCAGCCCTTACCATATGCCAGGTGATCATATCATTTCTCAGTAACCATCTATTGCTTTCTCTTTGCAGATCCCTTCTGGCCTCTTTATCCCTAGCATGGCTGTTGGTGCTATAGCAGGTCGACTTTTAGGAGTAGGAATGGAACAACTGGCTTATTACCACCACGACTGGGCCATCTTCAATAGCTGGTGTAGTCAAGGAGCTGACTGCATCACCCCCGGCCTTTATGCAATGGTCGGGGCTGCCGCCTGCTTAGGTGAGTCATGTTTGCATTGATTTCAAAGAAGTTGCTACCAGATGACATAATAAAGAAATGTGATATTGAACATATTTGACTGTGGATTTTTTAAGTGACTATAATTTTAAGTTCATGTTGGGTTTGCCAGTTTCCAAGTGCTTTAAGAAAGCATTCTTTACCCTATGTTTACATTCCTCCCCTTTGAGACTAATTCTACTCTGAAATTCCATCATACAGAAGAGATCATCTGAAATTTGGACAAAGATATTTGCAAAATAGTGTTCATCATGGTATTATTTATAGTAGCAAAAAAGTGGAATCAACCCAAATATTCACAGAAAGGGACTGTTGTTAAATAAATTGTGGTACATCCACATATCATACTAGGCAGCCACTGAATGTGATGCTAATATTTAACATCTTTAAATATAATGTTAAATAAATTTGTAATAATATACAGAATGTTCCCAGTATAAAGTGAGGGGAAAAGTATGGTGGGGAATTCAACATGTAATATGAGCCCACCTATGTAAAAATATGTATTTTTGCATAGTAAAAAATGTGAAAAAGTCATTCAGAGTTTTTACTCTCCTTATTTCTAGGCAATGAGCTTATGAATAATGACTTTCTTTTATAAACTTAAAAATATCTTCTGAATTTTCTACAATGGGCCTTTGTATCCCAGAGAACCTCTAGTCCCTCTAGTGTTACACAAATTGTGGATATTCTGCAATTACTTTTATAATTGGGGGTTGGGGGGAGCAACAGACAAATAAAAAAAGAATCAAGAAAATATTTTGTACTTTTGTAGGTGTTATTTTGAGAAATCTGACTTAGGTCCATTGTAAACTTACTTTCATGCAGTTGCTGGGCTCTGTACAGTTATAGGTGAGACCTCCTTTTAGCAATGTTCCTGGTAAGTAAGCTTTTCCTAGATGGGGCCTGTTACAGGCCCATAATTATAATGAATCCTGTACTTTTCCTGCCTTCAGTACGTTGTGTCTGTTTCTTTACAGGCGGGGTGACTCGAATGACTGTTTCTCTTGTTGTCATAATGTTTGAACTAACTGGTGGCTTGGAATACATTGTGCCTCTGATGGCTGCAGCCATGACAAGCAAGTGGGTGGCAGATGCTCTTGGGCGGGAGGGCATCTATGATGCCCACATCCGTCTCAATGGTTATCCCTTTCTGGAAGCCAAAGAAGAGTTTGCTCATAAGACCCTGGCAATGGATGTGATGAAACCCCGGAGAAATGATCCCTTGTTGACTGTCCTTACTCAGGACAGTATGACCGTGGAAGATGTAGAGACCATAATCAGTGAAACCACTTACAGTGGCTTCCCAGTGGTGGTGTCCCGGGAGTCCCAAAGACTTGTGGGTTTTGTCCTCCGAAGAGATCTCATTATTTCAATTGGTAAGGATATTAAAAAGGAGATAATGGCATCCACTATGGAAATAAAGAAGTATGTGTGAAATGAGGGAAGACAGAGGGAAGAGGGGACTAGTTAGGGGCCAGAAGGATAGAACTAGCACTTCCATTTTCAACATTTTCCCCCCTACTTTTCAAATAGAAAATGCTCGAAAAAAACAGGACGGAGTGGTGAGCACTTCCATCATTTATTTCACTGAGCATTCTCCTCCAATGCCACCATACACCCCACCCACCCTGAAGCTTCGGAACATCCTGGATCTCAGCCCCTTCACTGTGACTGACCTTACACCCATGGAGATCGTAGTGGATATATTCCGCAAGCTGGGACTGCGGCAGTGCCTGGTTACACACAATGGGTGAGAGCTGTTTGGTGAAGACATATTAGATTGTGGGAGAAGAGAGAATTGTAGGGAGAGAAAGAAGAACCCAGTTCACATGCGCATTAGTAGCACTTATAGGCCTTTTGGAAGCTCTGAGATAAAGATGGATGTGTTTCTTTAATCCTCATAATTAATAGAAAAGAAGTTGGGGCAAGAAAGTGGGTTTCGGAGATGTGAACTGCTGGTTGTACATTATTAAGAACTCAGTTCCTCCCTCACAAAGGAAACAGCTGTGTTCTTATGAACAGGCAACCCTGAAGTTATAATGGTATTAGATAGTATATGTATAGTTTTTGGTCCTTATAGTACTTTTGTTATTATTATTGGAGGGTGAGAAAACCAAGTTTCAGTGAGGTTTAAAGATTTACACAAGGGCCCCCAGTTAATATACAGTAGAGGCAGGCTTTAAACATAGGTTTTCTGACTCCCAAGGCTCGCTCTTTCTGGGATATTTTTTATCCAGCAAAGGGAGCCCTGCTATTTTTATTGGAAAAGAGGGGAGGTTGGAGAGAAGAGATTTTTTTTCCTGAATGTAGTATGTTAATCCAGCAATTATATAAGAATTTCACCCCCTGAAATCTCTAAATGTTGTAACAGATGTCTTGCAGAATTTAAATCAATAAGAAGGCTTTCCTTAAATGATTCATTCAACATTTACTGAATCCCTACTCTTGTAAGAAGGTATTCCACTAGACTCTGGGGAGACACAAAAATGAATACGACCCTTCTCTGCCCTCAAGGAGTATGCAGTGTTATAGGGAAGCTAAGAACATATAAGTGCGTGCAGCATGGCAGCAAACAGGACAAGTGCACAGAACATGCTGTTGCTGGGAAGAGGGCATAGGCCCTGTTGTCTTGTAGGATCAGGGAGGGTGTTCTGGAAGAGGAACATTTGACCTGGGTTGTATAAGGCAAGTGACATTTGTATATGTAGAGAAGAATATTTAAACCAGAGGAAATAATGGGATCTGAGACCTAGAAGTAGATATGTTTGATGCATATTAGGGATCCATGCGTAGTCTCGTTTATCTGGTACGTGTAACCTAGTCCTGTTATCTCATTCAGTAAGTGCATATAGTGTCCACAGACAAAGTTAAAAAGGACTGAGGAGGAAAATTGTCACCTTTGAGAATATTATTTTAACTACAGATTTATCTTTGTTTCGTTGTCTTGTTTTGTCTTTTAGGCGATTGCTTGGAATCATTACCAAAAAGGATGTTTTAAAGCATATAGCACAGATGGCGAACCAAGATCCTGATTCCATTCTCTTCAACTAGAATCACAAGGTTGTGCTGGATATAAAACAGGAAGGACATTGCGGACTATGGATATATTTTATTAACTGGGTACCCAAAATACATTTCCCATATTTGGATGGTGAAGTTATATTATGTGTTGTCTCTTTCCTCTGAGTTAACCAGTTGCACTACATAATCTCTAGAAATTAATCTTCTCTTTAGGAGAAAATACAGTTAGGCTTCTGTGATATTGTATTAGGAGGATTTCATGAAAGAGTAAACAAGATTGCTATGGTTTAATTCTTTTTCTTTTTTTAAGAGATTTTTAAAAAATTTAAAACATAATTATTAGCCAATATGCAATTATTGAAAACTATGCAAAAAAAATTCCAACTGTCCTGACCTATAGCCTGGAGGAAACTCATGAAAAAGTCACTTTTTTTGGACTCTGTCATTGGTGGAAGATGAAGTGTAAACTAAGGGGCTTTGCTTCTCCAACCACAGAAAGGAAAGTCAGAAGGAAAATAGTAATGGTGTTTTCCAGACTGTGAAATTCAGTTCAAATGTTGTTGTGTTCCTGTTACAATATTTAGCATTATGAGTTTGTGTGTGTATGTGTATGCTAACTTTAATATCTGATTATAAGACAGTGCTGCTTTGGTTAATCTCTCTAAACGAATTTAGAGGGGTTGACTTTTATAGCTTGCTTGTTCCTGGTACTCTTTTGAAGTGCACAAGATAAGTTCTAGAACTTTCTCCTTGTCTGCAAAAGGGGTAATTTCCCAGAAGGCATTTGGTAGCTAGTTGACAAGGACTCTGTCATGAATTTGTTAGTAGCAAGGAATGATTTGTCCAGCTTCCTTAAATGAATCATTAGTTAAGTTCTAAGCAAAGTCAGTGATTAGGAATTTCACATTTTTATGAGGTCCCAACTAACCCTCTTACCCAGATGCCACCTCCATGAGTGATGGTGCTTTAGGCTTCTGGAATGTGTAAGAATAGTAAAGGGAGCCAAGTCGGGGCTGCATACTGGTAAACCAAAGGAAGACCTCGAGCTGTATCTGCATTCTAATGCACTCCTTCATAAAGACCACCAATACTAAAATAACCTCCTCCTACTGTAAAGAGTGAATAACAGGCCAGTGTTGTCCCTGTGAGCATGAATTTCAGCTTGGGGCCCGTTCACATATATTTAGTGCATTGGAACAAGATAGGCAGCTGGGACTCCCTTGAGGCTCCTTAGAATTCTAAATAAAATGTAGAACCATCTTAAGACCCAGGGGTGTGGACAAGGCCTGTTGATACCAAAGGTGCTTGTATTCAATTGAAAAGGTGCCTATCTCAATTTTCTACCACCTTTAGTGCAGCAGAAAACATCACACTGTAGGGACACCTGGTGGAATTACAGGCTACCACCATCATTCTGACTGTTTCATTTTCTATAGTTTTACCCACATACGCTTATTCCCCTCCATTCTTAAAATCTTCCCACTCCTCAGTCCTGAATCCTTCCTTCAGGACTGAGAACTGTGCCTGGTTAATCATTCCTATGACAAAAAAAGTAACTCCAGGGCTAGTTAAATTGTAAACCAAGGCTCAGCAATGTGATGGCATGTGGACCAGATGTAATGCACAGCCATTTTCTTTGCTCTGTAGCCCAGTTGCTGCTGCCGTGCCTCCATTTTCACACCAATGCACACAGCAGCAAGGCTTAACTGCCATGGGTGAGGGGTCAGCCTTTCCGACATTTCAGGTCTGTTCCCAGCACTTCCCACCACCCTTCTAGCCCAGAATCAGCAGTCATGCGGTATATCCTCCCTGACCCACCACCTCTCCTCCCAAACACCTCAGTGCACCTCATTTTAAAAGTTGCTGACCCCTGATTCTAGGATTTTCTAGTTCTTGTCTTTCCAAAATCTGAAATTCTTTGATTGTCCAGAACTGGGTAGCCAAAGCTTATTTTGATTTTTATCTTAAAAATGTCAAATTAGTCATTAGAGTTTCTCTTTTTAAGTATATCACTCTAGCATTTTAATGAAAAAGAAAAAAAACTCTCTAGGTTATATTATACCATAGTCATGACTCAGTAACTTTATATCTTTTGTCCCTTCCGTCCCACTGATTCCCTCACACGAGATGAGGCTGTTTGTCTGACCGACCACCCAGTAGTGGAAATCATTCTTATCTGTGTATTTCCGGTTCACTACCTATCTTATTAGCTGACCAACTAAAGTTTACAAAACAGAAAGTGTTAGTATTTCTGATATTTCATGACAGTGAAAGGCTTGGTCACATTTCCTAGTGCAACAGTGATATGGAGGGTGTCTAAGTTTGCCTTTGTGTTTCTCCTAGTCTCTGTTTTTTATTTTAGACAGATGAGCCAGTGTTAAGGTGTTACTTCAGATAATAAATTCAAGAAACCAGATAACACTGTGCCAAGGTATACTTCCAGATGGCCCTCCAGAGAGTAATATTCCTTTGATACCTCACTCCTGATAAATCTTATGCATTAACCTCAGCTTCTCAGGAATCCTTATAACTCATACGCCGGAAGTAACTGTAGAGTATGGTATCCATTATCTGTCTAATTCTATGGTTTGGCTCAAAGGTTGGCTAATTGTGGCTAGAGCTCTCTAATAGACTGCTAGCTCAGCACCTTAACACTCAGAGTTTCTTGTCTTGAGGCAAAGGAAAACATTCTTTATGCCATTGCAAATTCAGCAGTTGGACATACTTAACCAATAAATAAAGTCAATATAGGGAGTAGCCTCAAATGGCCACACATCTCAGTGGCAAAAGACTAGATAATCTGTGATTTAAAAAATTAATATGAGTTGAGAGACTAGCCTATTTTGATATTAGAAAGGAAAATTGCCTGACACAAGGGAAGGATTTACAGAAGAATGTCAATAAGTGCTTCAAGAGAGGATTTTCCAGGGAGAAAAGATCTGGTAGACGTCAGCCATGAAAGGAATCAGAGTTTATAGATTTGTAAAAGTGTAACTGCTACATTTTGTATCTTCAAATATTCAGTGTAAAGAATGAAAGAAGTTGAAACAGTTCATGCATGATTAGTTATACCATTGGAGAGGAGAAACAGGGGACTGAAAATGCCAAAATAGTGGCCACTTTCAAGATCACTTCTATTTGGATGTTTGTTCAGATACTCTCCTCTTTTCTGGCTCTAGCATTCTTCTGGCTCAGTCCAGCTATGGAGTAGAGGTGATATAATTCACAGAACACATATCCTCTGGTAGATAATCTGACATTGATGAACTTGGATTTGCCAGCTGGCAGAGGAAATGATTAATTTGCTGATTGAACCACAAAACAGTTCAACTGTTTGGCACCAGACGCTGAATCTGAGCCCTTTACAGGAAGGGCAGAGCGAAGTATAAATTTCTCTAGCAAGTCTTCAATTCTGTTTGAACATGAAGATGAACCAGTTCAGGCGTGGGGGGAGCAAATATGTTTTTAAAAACAGCGTGCCATAGAGTCCATCATGGAAAGTAATCATTGCTGTATGTTTTAAATATTTGAATCACCTGTCCTGGTTGGGCAGGTTTGTTTTGTTAGGTGAAGAGCAGGAAGGTATATACCTGTTACCCACAGTATCCTGTTTCTGTTTTCATTTTTTAAAAAATAAGTCCCAAGGAATGCCATTTTTGAGGTTTAATTTTTAATAGTGATAGTGAAGACAATGTTGAGAATTTAAAAGAGCCAGTGTGTTTTATATTGCCAAAGTACTTCCTGATGACTGGCTACATTGTACTGTGAGGAACTGGTTCACCTGTACTGGATCAGAGCCAAATACAGGCCACTGATCAGTTCAGAGAAAGCAGAAGAGCATCTTTTATGGTGGTACATAGAGTATTGTGCTCCTAAAATCCTGAAAGACTAGAAATTTAGAAAAATTAGGAACTTAGGAAGAAAATGGGAAGTAGAATATTGAGTTCTTTAAAAAAATAGATGTCTGAATATGTGGTCTGAACTTAAGTGTCCTAAAACTTTGATTTTTTTTAACCATCTCTGGGTGGCCTAGATTCCTTTTAGAGACATATTTGAAAGTTATGGCAGTGGAAAAGCCTCAGTAAGAAAATATATGAGTTCTTGTAAGGTGGTGGGACGAAGGCTATCCCATGCCCCAAGCCATATATCCAGGGACGGAAAAACTGCTTGAACGTGTGCTCTGAGGGGAGAAAAAACCAAGCGGTCTCCTAGAGACCAGGCTTTCCAAGCAAATGAGAGGTTCAAAGCAGCATTATGCTGGAGGCAGTCTATTTTTTATGGAGAGGATTGACATAAAATGAGACATCTATTCATGAAGGTGGGCAGCATCTACTGCCATTGCCTAAGTGATAAGCTTTAAGTAGATTGTCTCAAATTTTGATAGCAAAAAATTTTTAATGTATATTTTTAGCCTCCCTAGTATGTACTTGCTATGTATAAAAAAGAAAAAAGTGAGAGTTTTGCAGATCACAGCTCATGGAGCTGTGTAAATTCAAAGTGAAATTGACATAGTAGACCTGTTGGTGACCTTTGCTCTACCTCAATTTCAGTTGTTTGCTCCAAGAAGAGAAGTTCTTGGAATGGTTGGTGTTAGCAACTTAAGTTACTCCCCAAATGGTTGCTGGCCACAGTCTCATTTCTAAATATCTGGATCTGAACAAGTTTTATAGTAATGAAGTGAACAAAATTGGTTTCTCCACTATGTAGTTTGATTGTGCCAGATCACCACAAGGAGGAAGAAAGGATATGATGTGCAGAGTTTGCATTTCTTGGATGGGACCCTTCAGGTCACCCAGCCTGATCCTACCGTCATAAATTCCTACCTCTAAGTTCCTGCCAAAGGGTCTTCAGCCTCTGTGTGCACACTCATTGAATGAATAGTATTTAGTCTTGCCCTTTAAGGAGAAACAGCATACAGTGGTATAAAAATACAAGGGTTTAAAAAATTATCTCTTCCCTCCTTCTCTCTCCTTCTTTCCTCCTCCCCCCCCTTTTTTTTCTCTCTCTCTCTCCCCTCCCCATGCCCTAAATTCAAAATCTTCTCAACTGTTACAGATGTGTTGTTTGGATGTGGACTTTGGCAGGGAGAGAAAGGATTGTTCTGAGAACAGAGAATGGAAGACACTTCGGAGTTGATAGGGCCAACGGCGCTCTGTTGTACTGTAGGGGCTAAAGCCAGTGGCATGTGTTGGGAGTGTCGAGGGCCTTAGCATCTCAGGGCAGGCATATGAAGTATTTATTGCTAAACCTTGTCATTATCTACTGGTCCAAGTCCATTGAAAGTCAGAGGCAGTCTAGGATTTGGTGAGTGAAATGCCATCTAGCAAAATGGGCATGAGGGAGTAGCCAGAGATGGTTTTATTGGGGTAGGAATGTTTGTCCTTATCATATTGAATGTACCTCAAAATATATGGTCCTTCAAGAGCGCTCCTTTTCCCTCCTCCATATCACTTTATCCTTTCTCTGTTTTTCTTCCATTGCCCTCCCTTTTTAGTACTTAGTTTTTTTTAAAATAAGTATTTACTTTATTATTGTATATTTGGTCCTTTGGGACTATGTAATGATCAAGAATTTCATTTTAGATGAAAAATGATGTTTTAATATTTTGTTCTTTTAAACTTTCTTTTGAAGCTATGCTGCTAACCAGGTATAGGCCAGGAAGTGTTGAGCCTGACAGACAGCACCCTGGTCAGACCACCTAGGGATATCGATGTCGTAATGGTGACTCCTCATTTGACCAAGGCCAGCCTCCTGCTCTTGCCTCTCTCCATTCATTTCTGGCTATGGGAAAAATACCACCCACTGGGTGAGCCAATAGGACCGGGAGGAGCAGAGGGTCTGGGTTCTAACCCATGGGCCACTATATAAATATCTCTGTAACATGCTCATTTGTAGGGCTGGCTCCAATTGTAGTAGCCAAAGAAAAGCTATCTGACTCGACATTCTAGTTCCTGAGAGTTGGTAAAAGTTCAACTGATGCTAATGTATAGACATCAGCAGTAGCTAGGCATCCAGAAACTAGCATCAACCAAAGCTAATAGAGCCCGAGTTTCTGCAGGAAGCTTGGTGCTGAGCTATTAACAGCAGTTATTTATCTGAGTGTTGCCAACCATTTAGTCATGCTTTCTTAGCTTTATTCTAGCTGTTAGAGGTGTTGGTCCCCATTTGTAGGCACAGTCTGTACCAAGCTGTGGCTCACTGCTCACTTCATTCTGCTTCCTGGTCATGCATAGTAACATAGTCTAAAAAGGAAGACATGGGCTGGGGAGTCAGGAGACCTGGTTTCTATTCCCTATGCTCCTACTAACTAGCCTTGGGATCTTAACCACTCTGTGCCTCAGTGTTCCCATCTGCAAAATGGGGATAATGTTAATTGCCCTACCTACCTCACAGGGTTGTTGTGAGGATAAATTGAGACAATGAATGGAAAGTACTTTGAGAAGTGCTATGCAAATTGTAAGAAATGGAAACAATCATGTTAAAGGCAATGGAATAGACATTGCTAGAAGGGTTAATGGGATTGTCCAGCCCTTTCTCTGTGGCTTATGCCCAGGTCGCCATTGCTTTACATTTTCACTTAGCACAGATTTGTAATTATGCATGTAATAAAGCACAGCCTTATCCAACCTGGTTTCTGATATGTTTTTGAAGACCCTAAATTTTGTAGCTCTGGATCTGATCATAAAAGCAGGGGATCAGGGTGTGAGATTTGAGATTATGTAAAAGGCAGCTACAAAATCTTACTAGAAGACTCACTTATTAAAAAGATTTATTAAATAATTATTTCTATGTTTTCAGATTCAGTAATACTTTTTACAATAAGGAGACAGATGAGAGGCAACATGCATTTTCTGAGAAATTCCAGATACCTCATTCCTTATGGCTATTTAAATGTTCCTGTCTCACACACTTGTGATGCTTTCCTGATGACATGAGAATTAACTGGGAGCTGTATTTTCTTCTCTCTTTTCGAGCTTTTAATGATTTAAGATTATGGGTTTTACCAGGCGTCTTGCCCACAGTCAGTTCTTATAGGGAGTAGGGTGGGTGTTTGAAGTATTTGTCCAGTGAATAGTAGGATTAGTAGTACCCTCTTTGTGGAGTGATTGGATTAATATGCCTTCTGGGGAATACCCTCTCAAGTGACCAAGGAGGTGGGCTTTCAGGGAGGTAGTCAAATATGCAAACATTTCCTTTTCACATCTCTCTGAAACACAGAAAACAAAGGAAAGCTATACATGGCTTTCCTACTTGCTCACTATTTTCCTGCATCTGATACCTCCTCCCCTGTCCCTCCCCCTCTCTGTTAGCCAGACCACTAGTAAGGCAGTTTACTGTGTCCACGTTTTTGTTGACATTTGACCATATCGGCACTGATGTTGATTTGGTATCTTATTTCTACAAAGAACTTTAATGCCTTTGACCTACTTGGTATCATTTCAGAAAGGACACCAATATGTAAAAATAACTCCCTCATAAGCCTACAATTCCACAAAGAAATTTCAGTTTTTGATGTTATTTAAAATTTTACTGGACTCCTTCCACATTATTGCCATTCCTACGTCTAAATACCTTTTGACAAAAAACAGTATGTCTAGCTGTTACCAACTATCAATAAGTTGAAGTCAATTAGAGTGTCATATCTGGTGACTGTAGAGCTCAGATAAAAGTGGCTTTAATAGAGTGTGAGGTACAGATCCATCCATCATCTAGTACAGCAGCTGCCCAGAGAAAAACCTGGGAATGACCACCAGATGTCAGTGCAATCATTAAAATACTTATATACTGTGGTTTGGTCAGAAGAGAGCTGTGTCTGAAGATAGGCAGGGCAAGAAACCATAATTCATGCATACAGCTAGATGCTGGGAATACAAAATTCAGTCACAAGGAATTAGTTTATCAGAAATTGTCCTTTTAATGTATATAATAAAACTTCATGCTTTTCTTATTTTAAAAAAATCAACCACATGGCAGCCCCTGCCTTTAAGGGACTTATCTTCCTGGTGTCTGAAACTTGTAGTTTCTTTTTAAAAGCAGTGTTCCACATAAAAACAATGAGGACAGAAGGGCTCTCTAGTTCCTCTCATTTGGATGACCATATAATTTATTGTATGACTAGGACACTTCACAATGGGATGGTGGTGCTAATAATTACCCAGGGAGAAGAAGTGTGAACATGAGCTACCCAGGTGTCTTAATCCTGGTTGCTGTAACAAATTGTCATAGCCCTGGTAGCTTATAACCAATAGACATTTATTTCCCACAGTTCTGGAGGCTGGAATCCCAAGATCAGGGTGCCAGCATTGTTGCGTTGTGGTAAGAACCCTCTCTAGAATTGCAGACTCCTGACTTCTTGTATCCACACATGGTAGAAAGACAGCTAGAGAGTTCTCTGGGCTCCACCCTCATGAAATCATCACCTCCCAAAGGCTCCACCTCCAAATACCATCACACTGGGGGTTAGGATTTTGATACATGAATCTGGGGAGATGACACAAACATTCAGTCCATTACACCAGGCAATCAAAGCAAGACATGTAGTCCCTCTCTTCCTTAGGGATCCCTAGCTCCTGTCCTTTGGCTTCTAGCTCCAGGTTTCCCAAGCTCCTTCCCTAGGATCTCACACTCTGCCCTTCCCTTGAGCTCCCAGGGCCCCTCTCCTGAGCTCTCTTCCCTTCATAATAAGCAGTCTCATTTTAACTGCTACTGGGATGTGGAGTAAGAGAGGTGTTCAAACATGTAAAAAAATTCTTATTCTCAAAAACAACAGTAGGACTCTGAGAAGAAAGCAGCATTCAGGGTAAGAGAAAGACAATTTTGGCTTTTGGGTTGCTTTAGGCCTCCTCAAGCTGTCAGGTTGAAGAGGTTCCATGTCTATACACTGCCCACTGCTAGTGTCTCTAAATTGACATTTTAGGATCTTGATTCAGGAGCCTGCAGATAGACTAAAAGACAGAGTGGATGAAGCACAGGATTTAGAATGAGAGGAACTGGACTCGAGGCTTGCTATAAAGGAACTGCTGCTTTTCTTGATCAAATGCAACTCAGGATCTCTGAGATTGACCTCACAGGAAGAATCCCTCTTGAAAAGGGGCTTCTGGATAGCTCACAGTATGGTTTTGTGTTCCACAAGAGTCTCCTTACCACAGAGGCAATTTTTTCTGGTTACCTCACTGGCCTAGGGCTGTAGGAGAGATCACTTCCTTCTAAATGTTCTGGCCTGAGAGGGCCTCTATAGCACAACTGAGGTGGAGGTAGAATTTTTAATCTAAAAGCTCAGGGTAAAATAAAAGGGAACCTATGTGTTATACAACAGGCTCATCTGGCTTCCTCTGACTGCATCAAAATCACCTGAAGTGCATGTTAAAATATACATTCTTGGAGGCTTGGGGCCAGGTGTTGCACTAATATTTGGAAAACCATATAAAAGAATTGCAGGTTTCAACCCACTCTGAAGCCGTAGCCTGCTATGTGGTGGGTACCATCTCAGCCCTGCCTGGGAGAGCTCATCCTACTTGTTCACTCTTGTATCCCAAGCACCAGATACAATGCTCAGCACAGAGCAAGACCTTTCAAAATGCAGTACTGGTGGAATGGCTGGCTGTGTAGAGCTTGCCTGCTTAGCTACTATTGCCTGCCTGAAGATGTGTCTCTTTCCTAGATGTATACCACCTTCCAGGGACACCACACCTACCCACCCACAACCGATTCAAGTCACAATCTGGTAATCACTATCTCATACAACTGTGTAGGTGACAGAGGGCATGTTTATTTTAGGCTCTCCTACTTTGCCATGTGGTTTTAGGCATGTGATTTGACCTATATGAACCTCAGAACCTCACCTATAAAGCAGGCATGATGATAAAACCTGTTTCATTGGACTGTTGAGATGAAGTGAAACCGGCTTTGAAAACTGGGCTTTACAAACATCACTGTTACTCAGTTGCTCCTGAGAGCTAAAGGAGATAATGAATGAGAATAGTCTATTCATTCAACCAATATTTAATGAGCATCTCTTGGCACTGGGTAGTCAGTGAAGGAAGCAACAGACCCATTTCCTAGATGACGATCCAAAAATAGAATTTTGAATGGCATAAACCAGCAGACTATTCTAGTAAGAATTTTTTTTTCAAAGTCCAATATCTACGGGCATGGCAGCCTATCCTGAATATTAGCAGAATCTTGGCACCTTTTCTCCCAAAATGTTTTCCAGTTATTTCTGTTTCTGAGACTCCAGAATATACCACCAAATCAGAGCATCCCAGGTATGGTCACACCAATTTGTCAGCTATGCTTGTCAAGAGGGATGCATGCACTTTCTTCCTCCCTCAAGCTCCAATGTCCATTTGGCCACATTTGAAGTCTGCAAAGCCACTTGGAGAGCCCTTCACTATCCTAGATATCACCCAGCCTGACAAAGCTAATTGTACCTCTTCATTCTTTGCCTGTCCTCCAGCATAATTTCTCTTTCTAGTTCCAGTTAAAAAACAAAAATTCCCTTATATATGGATGAATACCAACAGAAAGGGCCATGTGTATGTGGGGAGTGGGGAGGAGGGTTGTCTACTGTCTTGCCAGTGGGTTTCAGCCCCTGGCAAGTTCACTATGGATTCAATGTGACCAAAGAAATGACAGTAGAACATTCTTTGGGTGAAAGGGTTATACCCAACTTTATTTCCACAGTGGCAGGTCAATCACTAGATTCCCATCCACTCAGAGTGAGACTGCATGCAGCAAGCTGGTCTCTGCCTCTGGGCCTCTCTATCTGCATAGGCGTCTCAGTCTCTGTCCTCGGTGCTGCCACCACTCAAGCCTCTGCTCTGCTCTCCTGCAGCCTTGTAGCCTGCCACCGTGTCACCCAGAGCACTGGGCGGAGCTCTTTGTAAACAATCAATAGCAATGTATTGCCCACATGTGCGTAGTGAGCTAGCCAAACAGGGCCAGGTGAGAATCCTGGCCACAGGAACTTTGATTTTATCCACATCTACCCTAGTAGCAATATATGAGAAAGGCTTTATTAAACAAATACCCTTGAACTTCACAACAACCCTATGAGATAGGGAAAATGTGAGGAAACAATTATTTGGCTGTGATTTGGTGAGTCTCTCAGCAGCAGGAAGTGTTACAACAGAAACTGGAACTCAGTGTTTTTAATCCCATGTCCAATGATCTTTTTACTACTAATCTTGCAGCCAAGTGTTTTGTTCATCCTGAATGTTTCCAGGCCACTTTATGGCAATGGGAGCCTGCATGGCTGGACAGTTGACCTAGTGATAAAATTACCTTGGGTAAGAATCTGTATAGAGACAAGACAACAATTTTAGGAAGAGGATCTCCAAAGAAGTTTCTTTTAAAAGAAATGAATTTTAAAATCTTTTAAAAGTGGGTGTAGAAAAGTGAAAAGTGGGAAGGGAGAGGTGTGGGGGAGCAGTGTCTGGGGTCCTGTATTTACTAATTTACCTCCCTTGATGTAATTTGAAGTTTTTACCAGGAGCTTGTATCACTAATAATTTTTGAAAGCAAGCATCCAGGAAAGAAAACAGTATTTTTATATGTGGTTATACAAATGAGTTCATCTCATCAATTGGAAGCAAAATTGGTTTTTCCTTCAAACTAATCATAAACA